ATGTCTAACGACAAGGGCAAACCTTGCAGGACTTTATAAGTTTTATATTTATAAACATTATCCTTTTCAATGAAAAAAAAAAACGAGTGCTATTAAATCGCCTACGTTTGGTAGAAATTCGTTTTCAAACCTCGCGAAACGAATTACATGTTGCTTATTAGATCATACTTTTATTTTAAGTGTATTGATAATTGCTGACAAACAGGCTCGTGACGGAATTCGTATTTATCATCGGATCAGTATCTAGGCCTCAGAACGAAGGAAACCGTGATTGGAAATATGGTAGGGACCGGCCACTCAATGAATGCAGCTAAACTTAGAGGGATCGGAAGAGATGGACTATTGGATTAAGGAATTGCAAATTCGGACAAGAATAGGAAGTAGAAAGGGGATAAAACTTCTTGAAATTCCCGAAGAAGTTTGCCTGGATCTATAGAATTGAGAGTTTTTTCTGGAAAATCTTGTTAGCACCGGGTCTGGTGTTATGTTGCTGTTTGAGAGGGCCACTTCACCCAATTCTACTGTTAAACAATTTTGGTTTATCTTTCGAAAGTGAATTCTTTGTCTTATTTTTATTATTAGAGATTTTGTTTTTAAAATATTGTATATGAAGCATTCTATAAGTCTGATAATCATGAACGTAGATATTTTACCGTTCCCTTCCATTTGTCTGGCACCTTTCAGGAACATTTAGTTAGATATTCTATACACTTTTTTTTCTTAATCGATGCTCTTGAATAATTATTTTCAAAACATTATATGAGGCGTAGAATTCGAAAACCAGCCAAATCCATCATTTTTCAACTTTATATATATATATATATATATATAGAGAGAGAGAGAGAGAGAAAGACAAATAGATAGATAGTTTATGTATTAGAATATCATGGGGTGAATTTATTTCACATGTATTCCTAGTAATCCAAAATTTATTCTTAGAGATTTAATTTTGTATTCCTCATTTTTATCCAATCATCCTGAGTCGTAAGATTTTGTTTTAAATTTTTGTTTCCATTTTTAACTACATTTTTTTGGATGTTGTACTAACCTATCTATATGATGCCGTGGTATAACTTATTTTTGTATCGTAACAAAAAGTACTCTATTGGAATTACAATCATAATCGTTATTGCAGAGTGCTCAGCGCGCTGGTAAAATAGTGATCATAAGATTGAATCCCGGCCACTACTTCACAGTACGAGTGGTCCTCGAGGGAAACATGCTCTTAAAAGGATAAGTTAGTAAAAAAAATTATAAGAAAAATGTTCCTTTCCACGATACACTTATTTATTTAGAATATCAAAAAAATATAGCTATATCATGTACATTTATACAGATGAGTCGAGAATAAAAAGTTGAATGTTCTATTATTAGCGATTCTGACACAAGCTGATTAAAAACAAGCTTCCACATACTGCATTACCGCAGGATGCTACGCAATTAGTGGAGCCAAATATCATGTGACCGCAAAGAAGAAAATTTTCTTATATTCTCCGACTTCCTATATTTTTATATATTATTCCCATATATATATATATATATATATATATATATATATATATAAAAGTTAATATCACGTAGAATGCGCGAAAAGTAATTGATTCCTATTGTTATGCCAGGACTTAAATAAAAGTGAATGTAAAAGTGGGATGTTTCAAACCAGACGCCAACTCGACAAATGGAGACGTTACGAATGTATTCCTAATTAGCAAATTACTCAAAAAAGTGCAAAATGTTTGGTTTATTATACATTTGAGTATTTGGAAGCTTACTGAATTCCTTACAAGACGTAAAAAACAAAAACAACAACATCGAAATCGATAATAGTTATGTCTGATAAAGTATTTTTATTGTAAATACATATCCATATTTTTTAATTCTTATTTCGGTGTATATTACTATATATATTACCTTCAGAACGTTCTCTTTACACCCAGAACAGCCCTTCCTTAAAGAAACACATGGAGACCTGAGTTAACTAAAAAATTACTAATTCCGGTAGATCTGTCAGTCTATCCCGTGATCGATATTTGACATTTAGTACAATGACGTAAGAAGTGAAAAAGTTTCTTTCATAAAATGAATTTGAGAGTGAAATTATAAATTATTTTTATGAAAATCCTTTTAAAACAAATTATTTAAATATGTGAATATAATTATTTCTTTACAAATTTAGATTAATTTATGCTAGAAGATTATAAAGTGGCTCTTGCTATTGAAAATTTAATATAATCACTAAATCTTTAAACAAAAATAGCAAATGATGTAGAATTCTCCGTCCTCAGGGACGTGAATTGACAATTTTTGAACCGACCAGTGAATTTTATAATTAAAAGCTGATGCCTAATGCATATATATGCTCATCCACTTTGGGGCCCGAAAAAACGAATTTAGCTAGACAACACATCACTTCAAATATTTTACGATTATTTCTGTAATAAATATTTTTTTACATAAGTTTTTTATTATATCTAAAATGATGACCACACATTTAACTACATATTTTTTTTATTTTTATCACAAAAAAACCTGATTCGAATAATTACAGGAAAAATTATTCGGAAGGAATGGGCTAAACTCCAGGAGTGGGGTGTATACAGAAAAATAATTTTTAAAAACTCATAAGTTCTTATCCGATTAGCTTTAGTTTTATCGGCTAATAACAAATAAACAATATTTCATACGCGTATTGGCATTTCGATTACCAAAGTGTTCTAAATGTTTGAAAATACCACCATTGACTTTCAAACATTTTATTCTTCGAAAGGCGGCAGTTGCCCTGAATATTGTTTCATGTTTTCCATTAATAATGCCTGGGTAATTAAACGTATTGAACTAATACGTTGTATTAGTTCATCCCGACTGTCTACTTTTACTTTGTATACTAGATCTTTCAACAATAATCCAGTACTGTGAGGTCTAAAGATCTTGCGAGACCAATTTGGAAACTGTTCATCCGAATGTTGACTCACCTGACAGCGAAATGAGCCCGAGTGCTGAAAATACATTTGCTTTCTGATGTTTAGAGGACCATCCTCTAACAGTTCTTGTAATTCAAATCATAAAAAATCTAAGTAGTAGTCTCTTATGAGGCGACTCTCTATAATCACTTATTTTTTCTGTTTACAATCTGTTGTAAACAAGATCATAATACCGAAATGCTGATAACTTAATGAAATATTGTTTATTTGTAATTAGTATATGAGATTTTTATTAATAATTTTCCTGAGTGCAGTCCCTTCTGGAGTTTTGGCCCGTTCCTCCCGATACACCAAGTATAAACCTTTTTTTAAAGCATGTTATGGTATTTTTAATAGATGAAAAAAAAATCAAAAGTTACATAATACCAACCCGTTTAGCACGGCTGAGCCTATGACAAATAACAAAGGGCAATGATAGCATTAAATCTTATATTTATACTTTAAATAAAAAATGTGTGGTTTCAACGTTATGACTTTGATCCATCGCATTTTAAAACAATTTACTTGTAATCTTGTTTCTGTAGAACTCTCCAGTTACTGAGAGAATTTTCGAACGTCTTTGAATCAAAGAAATTCTTGATTGGATAATTGAATCAAACGAGCATAAAACTGTCTTTTCTTTGTCCTGGTTTTTATTATATCATATCGATCGTATAAAAAGAAAATGCTTAAAAGGGCTCAACGATCTACGCCAGGCAATGGAGTTAGTAGACTGCTTTTGCTGGAAATATTTAGTATAAGAGAGAGAAAAGATAATAATGATAAGGAGTAAGTTAACAGTAGAATAAGTTAGGGCCGGACAAATGTACAACCCTTGATGTCCACAAAGGAAGACACAAGAATTCAGCTAACATTGAATTTAATAATGGTGATGTCATCAAGTAACTTGAGGTAACTGACTATTTGGTATCTCACTGCTGCTTAAATTTGAAAGATTTGTGCTGGTGCCGCACTTGTTCATGGAATACCGTTCAATTATACTTTATATTTATGGCGTCCTATAAAAATGCAATAGTTTTCAAACAGTATTGTTTCAAGGTCGAGAAATCTTATGAATACGAAAAAAAAAATGTTTCACTGTGAATTTTAATATATGATCGTTCAGTTCAGATTTAAAAAGTACCCATAGCAATGCTTCATTCCTGAGACAAATTCAAGTATTTTTTTAAATATTATATAGAATCGTTAATAAATAAATTTAATTCATTTAAGTTATCACTAATACAGATTCAATATTCAATATATCCCTGTTGAACAAATCCGATACCTTGGACTTCACTTGGACAAACGTCTAACTTGGAATCCTCATACCAGACTGAAACGACAAGAAACTGCTCGACGTTTCCGACTACTCCAACACTTACTAGACAAACGCTCTAAACTTCCCATTAATTACAAAAGACTCATATACTTGACTATAATAAGACCTATTTGGACTTACGGAGTTGAGCTATGGGGCTCCACTAAACCATCGAATTCCTCTCGCATCCAATCCTTACAATCCAAATCCTTCGTAAAATCCTCAATGCTCCTTACTTTGTCACTAATAAAATAATCCATAAAGACATCAATGTTCCATTTGTTTCCGATTTGGCCAAATCCAGATACCTATCCTTCCATAATAAACTTCATAACCATCCGAATCCTCTTCTTTCTAACCTTGCTTCCTCCTTCTTCGATTCCTGATAAACCTCCGAGGCGTCTGAAAAGAACATGACCTCGTGATCTTCTTATGTAGACAAATTATTAGAGTGCTACCAATGGGTAGTTTCTCAACAAGCGTGTTTCATGTAATAATATCCCTCTGTACACATTTACTTGATGTATTCATACTAATACAGTTGTAAATATCATAATAAAAGTTAAAAAAAAAAAATTATTCAATAAACTGTACCCTCAACCTCGGTCCGGGTCAGTAAATTTATCTGGCATAAAGCTGAGAATAGGAAAAATAAAAAATAATAATGACAATGAGTCTTTCAATGAATAATTATGTTTTATTAATCTCTCCTGTTACAGATGCTGGAGGATGACGATGGCGGAGGGAGTGAAGGAGGTGGGGGAGGTGGAGGACGGGTGAGTTTCATAAACATAAAATTAGCTCCATAAATAATCATATTTATAATTATTAATTACAAAGTAACTTATTTCGTAAGAAGCAATTAGAACCCATATTATTATTGCGGAGAACGATTTGGTTGCTATAAAATTTTGTCAGGTTCGGAGATATCGATATTATTTTTAGTCATACGAAAATTTAATATAATTTTATTTAATAGAATAAATTTTATTTAAATTATTTTTCAATATTCCATACAATTATGCATAACCTATAAGCTGTTAAATTTTTCTAATGAATCCTTATCAGATTTCAATTCGAAATTCAACCGTTGTTATTTAAACGATTGTGTTATTGTGTATTTCCAAGTAAAACTTTAATTGAAGAGATTAATAAAAACTGTTACATGTTTGTTTGTTAAACCGAGGTAAATCTAAGTTATTAATTGCATGGAATAAATGCTACGGCCATACATACCAAATATAATATAGCATTGTAAAGCGTGTGTTGAATTTTAAAATATCGGTATCGAAATGAACTTGAGCATTCTATGCAGGTATAAACAACCTTTGTCAGCATTCTATTCAGTTCAATAGTTGAACCATATGCAAAGGTAACTTTTTCACTTAAAAACATTCACGAAATACATTCATAGTGCACTCTATTTTCAAACGCTAGCATACCAATGAAAGGGATCAAAAATATTTAGATGTTAGTTTAAAAAAAGAAGATAATTACGTAACTTGTATGTCAATTTTTTGCATGCTAAGCTATACTTAAAAGCTGTTAAAGGACTAACTAGTTGTTAACATAGGTATACAAAATAAAATATTTTTATTCTAATGTTATATATTTATTTTTCTCAAACAGGCCCAGGCGAGTGGAGGGTCGCCTGAGAAATCCGACGAAGAAAATCTTCTCTGTATAACAGAAACAGATGAAAAAGAGAAGGAAAACGAAAACGAAAGAGAAAGTGAAAGGGAAAGGGATAGGGAAAGTGAAAGGGAAAGAGAAAGGGAAAGAGAAAGGGAAAGAGAAAGAGAGGAAGTGGAAGAGAGTGATAGAGAGGAGAGGGATAGAGAGAGAGAAAGAGATAGGGATAGGGAAAGAGAGAGAGATAGGGACCAACCCATGAGCACTCCAGAGGGAAATACAGAAAGTGCCCTTGAAAAAGAAAAGAGTGGAACTAGCGGCTGCAGGCTAAGAGGGGTCGGAAGTCGCAGTTCCATAACGATAGCGGGGCCGGTAAAGCAGCCTCCAATTCACCACCGCCCGAGCAAACCTTGTTGCTTCTGCTGGTGCTGCTGCTGCACTTGTTCATGGTATGTATTCATTTAATTATACTTTATATTTATGGTCTCCTATAAAAAGGCGATATAGTTTGCAAACAGTATTCTTTCAATGTCGAGAAATCTAATGTTTCACTTTGAATTTTCATATATAGAATAGAATAGAAAAATAATTTTATTCTGGTACCAAGTCCCTTCAGAATAACAAAAAAGTACAGAAATTAAAATTTTATATCTGGCCAGTTAAAAACAAACATAAAAAGTTAAGATATAGATAAATCAGTGAAAAAAAAATATTAGTTATACATACTATATACAAAATAAAATAAAAAAATCTATATAAAAAACTCTTTAAACCATACTAAGATACTTAAAACTATGTACAATGTTAAAATATAAATAAACCCTTTTAGAAAAAATAAAAAAATACAGAAAAAATAAACGTAAATTCTTCTTAACAGTAAAATCTGTGTTTCTATTGAAAAAAAAAAAAGAAAGTCGAATCTATAATAAGTATTTAGGTTATGAGCTGTATGTGAATATGTTATTATAAATAATATATAATTTTACATAAAAGGTTAGCTGGTATCTGACTGTTTTTGGGACAGGAATTGGAATAGGAGGGTTTTGAATGTAGATAAGGATGAAGAATGTCGAATTTTTATAGGAAGGGAATTCCAGAAACTAACAGAACGAGCAATAAAGGAGTATTGGAACGGGGCAGATCTGTGAGAAGGAATGTAAAGGTCGGAAGGTCGAGATCTTGTGGAGAGGGAGTGGACTGAGGACTTGAATTGGAGAAGGTTGTAGGCGTAGGAAGGACGATGATTGTTGGTGATATGATAGAGGAATGTACCTAGGAAATATTGTCTTCGAATGGAGGGGAAGAGCCACTCTAACTCAGTGTAGTGGTGAGAGACTTGGTTAAGCGTTTAGTTCAGATTTAAAAAGTACCCAAAGTAATGTCACATTCCTGAACCAAATTGAAATAGTAGTTTTTTTAATATAGAATCTTTAATAAATAAATAAATTCATTTAAGTTGCTATAAATAGTTCGCGGGTTCCCCAGGCCATAAGACAAACAAATAGTATAAAAAAAAAATATTTTTAAAGAATGGTAATTATCTAAGATATTAAGAGTTACTACATCTCATTTGATATCACTTACAAGTTTATTCCTAGTAATTTCTAGTGTACGAATGTATTAAACGCATTTAGTTTCAATATTAAAACCGTTAGGAGTGAGATAATTCACTCAACTATTTTGGTTCTTAGGCCCGTGTTATAGTGGGCAGAAAATATATTTTTCCCTCCTTAGGGCACACTTCTCCTTATGAATAGGGACCAACCGATGTGATCACGGGTGAAGAATATAAAAAGTGCCCTTGAAAAAGACAAGAGTGAAACTGAACCTCAGACCCTTCATGGGTTTAAGTGGTACAGGTTTGGTACCTATGCCCTGGTCTCTCTTTGGACCAAGATTCTCAAACTTTATAATCAGTTGGGTAATTTAAAAAAAAACTTCAAAAGTGTGGGTGTTAACTTCAAAAGTGTCAATATATCCAAGGCACCGACAACTGAAACGCAGCCAAGATTTCTCCCAACTTGCACATTCTCTTAAGGCCCATTAAACCTCATATTGGAATGATGAAGATTAATTTAACCTTCGGCCAACCCCTCTTTCCATTCTACCAGTTTTAATTAGTCATTTTCAATATTTCCTCGTCCTTCTATCTTGGAAGTTTTCTCCCTCGTTTCAACCTCCTTTGCCTTGTAACGACTAAACATAATGCCATCAGTTCCAAAATTTGTATACGTCATAGCTTATTATGTTTTTGCACTTCTTTCGTAAACTAATATATTATGTTCATCAGGAAGATTCATTCACGGTGCAAGATGTTTAAATAATAATAAAAAAAAAATTAAAAAAAAAGAAATTGACCATTTCAAACTACCATAGGTCTTGTCACGTAGAATCATATACAGGAAGAAAACTATATATTTAAAGAAAAACACTTAGAGGAATATTAAAAAAATATATTTTATCAGAAAATCTATTAAAGCTGGTTTTGCCTTTCTCTAACTCACAAGTTACTGATAATAACGATTTGGTAAAGTTTTTGTTACTCCTATGACAATGAGCGTTGAAAAGAAAGGTATTCATATGCACTAAAACTTGAAATCGATAAATGATAACTGATATTCTTAATACTTTTCTTGAAAGATATATTGAATTATTGGCATAGACCAGAGATTCTCTACTGTATAACATACTTTTAACTGCATGTTATAATTATTAAATCGAACTGTTTTTCGCTACATGCTATCCATGTGTTGTAAAGTTATTATTAGAATTAGACACATTATCTAGTATCAATCGATGGATCAATGATTGAAAACTTATCAAAATCAATGGATTTTGGATACACTATAGTTCTCCTGTGAAGTGATTAATATTATATATTGCCCCAGGTTGTGAATTTCAAGCGAAAATGTTTTCAGATTAAGAACAAATAAATAAATATTTAAATTGATATTTATTAAAAGAAAAGGGATAGATAATAAATAATAATGAAAGATTTAATTCAGCTATAACGTTTCTCAAAGAAATACCCTTAATCAGCCAAGAAATCCATAGCCTACCATGGATAAACAAAACAATCCTAAACCTAACCAAATTACCTAAAAACCAAACTTCGCCTATATTTTTCTTTTGCTACTTATAATTCCACCCACAAAATAAAACTTCACAGATTATGTAGTGTATATACAGCTGAACTCCATGCAATAGCCTCAGCCCTCCACTTCTCCATGTCAATAACCTCAAAAACCATTGCAATAATAACGGATTCATTAAGTTCTCTAAAGGGTATGAATAGAAGGTATGAAAAGCACCACACTTCATCATAAAATCCAAACATATCCAAACATGCTCGAAACATAGCGAAAAGTATTATACCTTGTCTAGGTGCCGAGCCACATAGAAATCATTGGCAAAGAGCTTGCAGATGTAGCGACCAAGCAAGCACTTACCCTTCCATGTCGGGGCGCTCCCATTCTAACGCCACAAGATATAAGTCTTCCCCTCAAAAAAGAAATATTTTGTAGCTGACAATCTATGTGGAGTGAGAGCAAACTAAAAGATATTAACAACACAGTAAAGCCGTGGTAAACATCAAACCCTCCGATCCGCAGAGAGGTGATTGTCTTAACCAGGCTGAGAATAAGCCATACAAATCTGACCTACTCGCATCTCATTAGTAAACAGCCACCACTAAAATGCCAATATTGAAAAAGTACACTTACAGTTAGCCACATTTTTCAAGAATGTTTTTTCTATTTCTCAAATTTAACTAGTTTCGGACTCACATCCCAAATTTCAAACATCCTTGAAAATGACGAAGACACAGTACAGTTAGTGTTAAACAGGCGTTGACTACCTCAATATTTTACGCCTAAATAAACTCCAAAAAACAACAACAACAAATAATAATAATATATGGATAGTAGTAGCTAATAACAACGGAGATAAAGTTCATATATCAGGTCTGGTTAAAATGGCAGAGTTACAAGAGTACAGACTGCCTAGGCCTTTAAATAGATATAATTATGTAAAATGAAAGAAAAAAAAATATTTTCAAGGTATCATATCTTTCATAAACCATAAGTACAATGTATTTATCTTTATTATATACTATATTAAATATTAAGATAACATCATTTAACACACTAAACATAGGTAATATTATAACAATGGAAATACTGTATAAAATTAAAATAACTGTTACTTTCAATTTGTATTAAATATTACACTTTTACTTGTTGATTGAAATTAACAGTTTCCCACATTGCTAAAAAATTATAATTTGTATTTCACAGTTTCAATGTTAAAGAAAAAAAATCCTATAATGAGCAGATAATTTAAATATACGTTCCTGTAATTTTCATGGCTACTTCTGTCCATGCTACGATTTTTGGAGCATTCTTTTTAATAAATATTTTATAAACGTTTATACTATTAGTCCCTGATAGTAAAAACTATTAGTCCCTGGTGCAGAACCCTTTTTATCAAATTATTAACAGCCGTCTAAGACTTCGTGAATGGCTTTATCTTTTCACAACCAGCAATTTTTTGATTTGCAAAAATTCACATAAACGGTTTTTACTTAAATTAATTAATTTAATGAGGTGCTAAAAAACCCTTTAAGACCAATCTAATTTTACTTAAATCGTAGGATAATTTGATCACACAATCGAGTAAGAAGGCCTACAAACATATCTGACCGCTTGGCCTGTACAACCTCGTTATTTTGACATGTTGAGGGTGGAGGTCAAGCCAAATGGCCAAATATTTTTATAGGCCACCTTTTTTTCTCGATTTTCTGATCGAATTATCTCACTATTTAAGCGGAAAGCAAATGGGTATTCATGAGTTTTTAGTACCTCATTAAATCAATCAACTTAATGAGAAAACTATCCGTTTCTGAGAATTTTCGTTGATAAAAAGATGTAGATAAGATGAAGTAAATCACGATGTTTTACGTGGATGTTAATAATTTGATAAAAATGGATCTATAACGAATCTAAAAAATTGTTTAAAAATAGTAAATTGCTAATCCTTGCTTGATCATTTTTATTATTGCCATATTTATTTTATTTTTATTTAAATGTTGCACAAAATATTTTGTTGGAGGACGTTTAGGGTTGTGAAATAATCACATATAACTACTGGCTTCAAACTTATTTTCTCTTGATTGTATTGTCAGCCAGTTTATCTTGTTATGGTTTTAATATATATGCTATTTTTTAATCTAATTATATGTTATGAATATATATTAAATATTAAATACCCATTTAAAGATGATATAATAATCTGTTTTTTTCTTCTAATTACATGCTGACATATTTTAGGAATAAATGGTAAGCCTTGATTTTTACTATATATAGTTATCATGTAAGAATGGACATCAAACCAAACTAAACATTTTTCAATAATATAAAATCAGTATCATCTTTATTACTTTTAAAATCATTAAAGAAGAGTTTTTA